CCTCCTGAAGAGACCACAAGACAGTAGTCCCTGGTGTTTAGAGCCCTGCAAGACAAGGAAATGCCACCTTTGCCCAAACTGCACTTCGCACCTTTATGGACACAGGGTTCATATGCTTTCTTTCTTAATCATTTTTGGAAATAGCTCATTAACTGCTTTTCAGTTATTAGGAACCTGGAACAAGAATTTTTTTACAGCATTGGGTGAATTTCCTTTAATCCTTTCTAAAATAATTTTTAACACAAGTTTAAGGACTTTAAAAAATCTTTTTTGGAATAAACAGCAAAAGGGCGATTATAACATTGATTTTGGAAAGTTACAAATGGACTAGGAACCCAGATGGAGTTAAGATTTTGAAATTAATTATAAGAATCCTTCACATAGGAAAATGTTGATTTGAATTCTTTTTAAAAATGATATGGGTATTTGAAGATTGGACAGTAGAGAGAACCAGAAAGAACTATAGATTCCAGGAGAAAAACACTTGACTTACTAATACAGAATGGAGCAAAATACTTTTAACATTGGCCATAGTGAAGGATATTTGTAAACAATGGATCCAGGAGTTAATTTTAAGAGTGTCTTTCATTATAGACAGACTGTATTTAAAAGATCTTATGGAAAAGAAACAAGCTTTCCCAGATATGCCTGAGATTGATCTGAAATAACAATATGGACATCAGATATTGCTGTAAGAGATGACAGGCTGAGCCTGAGGGAGATGTCAAATGCATCATCAGTCAAGAGTCCTTTTGCATCCACAAGACATCTAAGCCCAGCCAACCTTGAATTCCTTTCACTCTTACCTACCCTCAATTGCTTTTTGCAGTATTTAATTGCAGTATCTCATTTATCCAAATAAAAAAAACTTTAAATTGGTCTGATTCTTAATCTTAATGTTCACAGTTATGCAAGCAGTATATGAAGAACAAGGTGTATTTATACTGGGGGCACAATTATTAGGCAAGTTGTATTTTGGAGGATTAATTTTCTTATTGAACAATTATAGTGCTCTCGGTCAATCCAAAATGCTAATGAACTTCAAACCTGAATATTTAAGAAAGTAAAATGAGGTTTTGGCTTTCTTAGAGGAATATGTGTGCACAATTATTGGGCAATTATAAGTGTGCAGAATTATCATGCAACTAAATGAAAAATGAAAATTTGCCCATCTCATTTATTTGCATTTGTTAAAGTGAGAATAATAAACAAACAACTCAAAATGTACAAATAAACATTTCCAACATTAAAAAAAATCAGTGACCAATATAACCACCTTTCTTTTCAATAACAGTCATAAGCCTTCCATTCATGGACTCTTGCCAATTTCTTGATCTGTTGACGATCAATGGTTTGTTCAGCAGCAACCACAACCTCCCAGGCACTGTTCAGAGAGGTGTACTGTTTTCCTTCACAATAAGTCTCCCATTTAAGAAGGGCTCACAAGTTCTCAATAGGGTTTAGGTCAGGTGAGGAAGAGTCATGTCATTATTCTTTCATCTTTAAGGCCTTTACTGGCTAGCCACAGAGTGGAGTACTTTGATGCATGCGATGGAGCATTGCTCTGCATAAAAATCATGGTCTTCTTGAAAGATTCAGACTTTTTCCTTACTACTGCTTTAAAAAAGTGTCTTCTAAAAACTGGCTTGGGAGTTGATTTTGAGTCCATCTTCAATCTGAAAAGGTCCAACTAGCTCACCTTTAACAATACCAGTATCCCACCTCCACCTTGCTGGTGTCTTGAGTCAAAATAGAGCTCCCTGTCCATTACTGATCCAGCCATGAGCCTGTTTGGTCTGTCAAGAGTCACTCTCATCAGTGCATAAACTTTGAAAAATCTGTCTTCAGATATTTCTTGGCCCAGTTTTGCTGTTTCAACTTATATGTCTTGTTCAGTGGTGGTCAGGTTTCAGCCTTCCTTACCTTGGCCATGTCTCTGAGTACTGAATACCTTGTACTTCTGGGCACTCCAGGTAGGCTGCAGTTCTAGAATATGACAGCACTGGAGGATAATGGGTTCCTGGTAGCTTCATGTTTGATTCTTCTCAAATCTTTGGCAGTTAATGTGCATCTTTTTTTCTCAACACGTTTCTTGTGATACTGTTGATTATTTGCAACAAAACATTTGATGGTTCTGTGATCACACCCCAATATCTTAGCAATTTCAAGAGTGCTGAATCCCTCTGAAAAACCTTTTGCAATGTCTGAGCCATGGTGGCACAGTGGTTGGAATGCAGTACTGCAGACTAACTCACTGCTCACTCCTCGAGTTCGATTCTGAGCAGCTCAAAGTTGATTCAGCCTTCCATCCTTCCAAGGTCGGTAAAATGAGGACCCATATTGTTGGGGGCAATATGCTGACTCTGTAAACCACTTAGAAGCACTGTGAAGCAGTATATAAGTCTAAGTGCTATTGCTATTGACTTTTCAGAGTCAGTTAAATATCTTTTTTGGTCCATTTTGCCTGAGGAAAAGAAGCTGCCTAATAATTATGCACACCCCGATATAGGATGCTGATCTCCTTAGGCCATACCCTCTCTCATTACACATATACACATTAGCTGATATGCTTATATCCACTAAGCATTCAAGTTTATGATTAAACTTGATATGATTAAAATATTCACTTGCCTAATAATTGTGCACACAGTATAGCATAGTCATATTTTGACACAGTGCAATAGATGAGTGAGAAGGTAAAAAGAAATAAATGCAGAATAACTGGGAGCAGTTGAAGACTGACAAGTCCAACTGCTAAATGTTGGTAGTCCAAAGGGACAACCACAGTGTAGTCTACTGATGGGCGCTACTGGTAAATGTGAGTAACCAAAAAAAGTTACCCCAGAAGGTAACTACTGACAAAGTAGTTAAATCTGGAAAAATATTTCTAGAGTATAGGATTGACTAATTATGTCTATTATGTAGTATATTATTAACTATGATTAACAGACTCATAGTTAATATAGGTTATGTAGAAAAAGGTTTTACTATAGGATGACTGTAGTAGAAATAAGAAGAGATAGATTGTATTAAAAACAATCCAGCTCCATGTAATACATGTCAAGGCCATATACGAACCCTGGCAAAACAGTGTCTGGATAAATAGAAGAAAAAACCTGAAAATGAATCTTCATAATTCACAATTTTATTCATAATTGTGCTTGTAGTTTCGAATAGTGAATTTTTAGGAATGGTTGAAATGTTCCAGATCATGCACCATAATATATATATATTATGTCATGTCAAATGCAGCTTCTTGAGAAGTTAGTTTGAATTAGGAATACATAATCTCTTTGGGATCAATAGGCATATTTCACTGACAAAACTAATATTTTGAGAAGATAAACATTGAGGTTGTTCCCTGGTCTTTAAAGTCCCTTGTGATCCTCTAATCACCCCAACTTACTTTTTTCTTCTGCCTGGATCGGCACTCTTCCCATAGCCACCCATCATACCTATTTTTTATAAGCTATACAACATTTATTTGTGGTCCAGAAATTAAATAAATATGGTACACAATGGTGTTGCATGTCATGTTATTAGATAGATAGATAGATAGATAGATAGATAGATAGATAGATAGATAGATAGAGATAAAGATAGAGATATATAAGTTGATGAGGCATGCAAGACAGCATTTGCAAGCACACTGGGAATGACTGCTGCCTAGTTCTGATTCAGACAATCAGCTGCAGTAATGCATAGATTAGTTAACTGAAAATCAATAAAATCGGGCATCTCTCTTTCTACTCTATCATATCACACACTTTATCTGTTCTCTACTATATATATGGCAATAGCCTATATGAATGCTACACAGGAGAGGATTGTAACTATCTAGAAAAAGTGGAATATTCCATGTTCCACTTATTGCTATCTTTCAGGAACTTGGAGATGTATCTGATAATCAATAATGCATTTAACTCATTAAGAACTCTTGCAGATTCAAGCTTTTTGTCCTTTCAGTTCATCTGCTTTTGTATATACTTATTTTCTTCAAGCTAAAGTTTAACAGTAATTTATTCAACTCGGCGTGGGTGGTATAAAATCACATTTTCCAAGGATCTAGAAATGGAAAACCATAATGACATAAAACCAACTTTACCACAAATACATACCAACAAGAGTGTACAATCACCATATAATTTTGAAAGTTAGAATAGTGCGATATATGCATGCAGCGTATTATAATTACTTGGGAAAACTGAATTACTGTAATTAAGCATTAATATAAAGAAATAAAGACCTTCCACAAGTGAACACAATTGAAACATTAATCTGCTTACCATATACTGAGCTCATTAAAATCAATAAAATATCTAGAGGTTTATGAAAACAAATCATAAAGGATATGAACAAAAAAAAAAAGCTTTTTACCCTTTAGGAAGAAATCTGCAAGTTACTGTCTGCCTTTGGAAACATTATCCATCCCCCCCATCCCCTAGCCCTCTTTGCCCATGCATTTCAGTAGAATAACTCTTCAGACCACAACATTCTAAATAATTATGACTATTTTAATTTCCTCTCTTCCAGCTACAACGAATTTCACCACACTGCTTGCTTTAAGAAATCCTCAAGAACATAACATCCGTAAATGGAAAGACCACATGTTTTCTTGGCAATTTACCCAGTGACAATGCACTATTTTACTCCTGGGCACTTTAACTAGGCACAGTTCATCTCTCCCTTTAGTTGGCTTAGTAATAGTCAAAGTTGAAATCAACAAGTTTACCTTGATGCACACTGCAATCTCATCCATCTAGAGAATATTCACTTGCAAATCAATCTTCCCTCTCTTACTTTTTTTCTGTTATTTTTTAGGTGTAACGTCACAGGTGTTAAAAGCATATAAGCTTAAATCTCTTGAGTACTGACTCCAAAAGAGACAAACAGGAAGAAGTGAGAGCACAAATTGCATAGTTCTGGGAAAATCCTAAAAGGAGAGATATTGTTCACAACTTGGCTTCAGTGAAAGCTTCATAAATTAGAAAATAACATACCTGTTAATCCCACACAAGGGATGGGGACTTGTGTGATGCTGGAGATAGCAGTGAGGGAGCCAAATCCCATGGTTGAAGTGTAACAGGAAACCTTGTGGAAAAACACAAGCTGAAGCTGGAATAGAAGTCCTGTTGCTCACAAGACTGTGCTGCTGCTTCTGGTCCCCTTCTGTATCAGCGGCCGCTGCAATTGAACCAGGCATTTCCTGTTTGTTGTCCAAGTCTCCCCCCAACACATGAAGATGAATGGTTCCCTCCTCTAATAAGCCCCCCTCCTTCTGTTGTCCCAAGTAAGCGCTGAGCCTTTGAAACCCCCATGAGGCAAGAACTCAGGAGACATGTACAAATAAAGTCAGATATTTAACAGCGAGTGTTTAGGCTAAAGTCTGCAGGCTAGCAAAGCAAACCTTAAACGGATATCTTTGTGCTTATAATTAATGGATGTCTTTAGCTACTAGGCAACCTCTGCAAATACTGAAAGTTAAAAGGCAGATTTGGGGACCCCACCTTTTTTTTTTTTTTACTTCAGACTTCCTTTTTTAAAAAATGCATTTCTAAATGTTCTTTTTCACAAGAAACAAAGCTGTACTATATGAGTAAAGTGTGCTAAAACTTCAAGATGCATTCAAATGTCAGACTGCCCTTGGTTGAATTTTATTCCACTTACATCATTCTTTAAAAATGTCCCTGTTCAACCTAAAGCAAGGCTTTGTGCAAGAGTTGTGGGTGTGGTTGACTTCATGAACATTTTCTCAAGACTCTAATTTTGCAGGGTGATAACTGCAATTTTGGTGTGCTTTTTATTTAGGATAATTAGATCATAGTTCAGTATTTCTCAACCTTGAAGATGTCTGGATTTCAGTTCCCACAATTCCCCAGCCAGCCAGGTCAGCTGGGCAATTCTGGGAGTTGAAGTCTGGACATCTTCAAGTTGCTAAGGTTGAGAAACACTGCCATAGTTCATTTTCAGGTTAGTATAAATTGCTTTATTTTCTATTCTCATCCAGTCCTCCATCCATAGTCAGTAACTATTTTTCACTTTCAGTTAACCAACCAATAGAAAAATTGGCGGCAAGATAAATTGACACATCAATAATGAAAATATCTAGATTCTTATTTTCTCATCTTTTTTTCCTATTCTAAATGGAGAAATGGAAATGACCAAAAATATTGGATTTATACAACAAGCATTTTATGAGTATCCAAAGAGATTCCTTCCCTCCAATTTTTCACTAAGTTATCTAAATTTTAGATCAGTCAAGTAAGATTTATAGAAGCATATGCTTGTTGAAAGAATCTTTTGTTTATAAATCAATGTAGTGAAATCACAAATATATTTTGATAAACATACGGCTAGTCCTTGACACATAAATGTAACAGAATTTGCTCATTACAATTACAAGTTGAGAAGGTTGTTACGTGAGATGTCCATGTGATCACCTTATTTAATGACCCTCAGTCTTGCTCTCCCTGACACAGTCATTAAGTGGAACACAAGGTCCCTCAAGGATCAGGGTGACTCTGCCCCAGGTTCGCCTGTCCTGGACCTCCAAGTCCTCCCCCATCCCTAGAGACACCCGATGCTCCATTTCCCACACCTCGGGACTCCACAGTCCTGAGCCTTGGCTTTCCCTTCCACTGGGTCCCTGCAGGCCTTACAACTTTTGAAACAAGTTGTAAGTCAAGGAGTAGCTGTATTATTCCATTTAGAAGTAGGATGCCCACACAAACACTGGTGAGTAGCTCATTCACAAGTACAATTCAACAATCTGCAGTGCAGAACTTGCAGAGGGTCAAACTCTAGTACAGGGGTGTCAAACTCAATTTCATTGAGGGCCGCATCAGCATTGCAGTTGTTCTTGGGGGGCCAGGTGGGTGTGGCCAGGATGGGTGCAGCCTACTGGGTGGGCATAGAGGGAGTGGGTGTGGCCCACTAGGTGGGCATGGCCAGCTCTACATCGTTTACATCAATGGTGCCTGTGGGGGCAGGAATGGGACAGATCTGAGGGTCTCTGGCAGAAGGGGGTGGGACCAGGGCAAGTGCCAAGGCATGGTCCACTGGAGGAGCCTCACTGTTCCTCTCCGGCCATTGGGGGGCTGAATGGTGGTGTGGGCTGCCCGGAGCTGTGAGCAGCAGAGGTCAAATGGCCTGGCCCTTGAGCACCCGTGGCACCAAGCCCAGCTCCAGTTCCCCAAGGGGGCGCCTAGCTGCACTTACCTCCTCCTCAAGGCTGCTGCTGCTGTGCTTGCTCTCCTTAGCGAGGTTGTTCATGATGGGTACCAGGGCAAAGTCAGAAGGAGACTGAATGCGTTTCAGCATAAATGGCCACCACAAAATTGTACATTGGCTCCCGGCCGACCGGCCTGGGCAAGGGCCAAGGCAGTGGGGGCCATTCCCTCACTGTTTCCAGGATGGCTTCGTGGGCCACATGAAACCACTTTGCGGGCCGCATCTGGCCCCTGGGCCTTGTGTTTGACATGTCTGCTCTAGTACATACAAAGGCTTCTCTTCTGAATTCAAGGCCTGATAGATTAGGGGTTAGCTTGCTAAACACTGCATACACAGCTATACATGCAAAGGTTTCTCAGATGCAGACATTGCATGAAATTTGTGGATGACTAAAGTCCTAGTGTGATATTACAAGAAGCAGGGGCCATTTACCACTGCTTGTGTGTTAAATTCTAAATATGCCTTATTTGTTGGGGAAACAAATGATTGATTGTCTTGAAAGTCACAGTCTGTCCTGGGCTACTAAGGACTTATTCTGCCACAAACATTTATTGTCATTGCACAAATAGAAGCTGATATTAGTTGGCCTACCATGTTAAAATGATTAGAGGTTTCCTATACTGTTTTTGACGATAGCTAGAGAACTAATGTTTTTGGTAGCTTGGAATCCTTGTGTAAATTGGAATGCAGTGTTGAGAAGTCTCTACATATTGTGTGAAAGTAGAAAGGATAGAGAGCTGTAAACTAGCTTCATCTGAATTTTTTCTCTTGCATTCAGTCATGTACAATTCTTGGAGACTAGCTGAACAAGTCCATGCAGTTTTCTTGGCAAGGTTTTTCAGAAGTGGTTGTTGCCATTGCCTTATTCCTAGGGCTGAAAGAAGTGATTGGCCCAAAATCACCCAGTTGCCTTTACTCAAATGAATTCCTGTTGTTATCTCCAGATTTTATCTCTGTTCACCACTTTTCAGACTATTGCAGGAATTTGCTTCTCTCTCTGTATGGGTGCAAATATTTACAAGCAATGCCTAATATTTGAAGACAGATGATCCACTAAATCTCCATTTTTTTCTGATTTAAATGAGATAACATATGGACATATACAGTTTTCTAGACTTCTCATCTTTGAGAAAAATAAGGATTATGAAAAAGAAATTTGAGATGGAATATAATTTTCTTGAGGAGATGATCTCTCTGTGTGAACCAAAGTGAAAGAATAATAGGAAGCTTAAAAAAAATTCTGAACATTTTAGAAATGGAGACAATTATTGGCCTTTTCCCTGAACAGAAAACTGTACAATATGACAAAATCTGTCCCAAAGCTATTTGGAAAAGCATTAGGCAAAATCTAACTTCTTCACTACCTATCACATCACAGTTACTGTTAAAGTGCTTTAAATTGTCAGGAAAATACCAATCAAAATTTCATATATGTTTTAGTGTTCTTTCAGTTTTCTTCCTTTGAAAAATATGTTGATCAACTAGTAAACAAATCTTGGGATAATCTAGATTAGAATCATTAGCAGTTTTTACATTCTGAATGATTGATATGCTTGCTTTGGCAAGTAAGGTGCCAGGGTTGCAATTTTTTTTGTAGGTCTTGATTAATTTTTTGCTTCCCATTTTTTTCTAGTTACTTTCTTTCCAAAGCTTAGATCTTACAGTTGGTCTTTGATCTTACTAGTATGTTATGTTATTGTTTGTGAAACAGTGGGAGCTAAGATGACATCTTGCTGTAGTACTACATCCGAATATAGTGCAAACCAGATTGATCTCAAGTGTTTGAATAAACTTTGTTTGCCCACACCCTTCTGCTCTGGAACTAGAAATTTGGCAAATAATTGAAAGTTTATGGAATTTTCCTCTTGTTCCTTCGAGGATAATAAAATGCATCTGCTAAGGGTCACTAACACAAATTAACTGTGGTTACTATTTCTGTCTTGGATTTTATGAGAACATTTGAGCTACTTTTTCTACATTTCAGAAGGGGCCATTTTCAGCAAATTACAATATTTAAAACTGTGTCTAACGGCATGCAAAAATTCATACCCTACATCTGTAGTATAAATACATCTATTTAGTTAATCAAGCTAATAGAAAGAAAATATATAAATAGTAGAGTTAAAAATGTAAGAAATTTATTCTCCCCTCTCTCCTAACACACACACAAAAAGGGAAGGAAGGAAAATATTTTATGAACAAAGCAATACCTTCCAAATTGAGCAAATGCTATATTTCTACATGTATGATTGCCAGTTCAATCCAAGGCAAAAAAAAGTGGGTTATGGTTAATCTTTTTACAATCTATTTAAAAATAAAAAACTGGTATCAAACATTAAATCCATATGGAGCTCCATTTTCATCTGTCCTGTTTGTCATCGTTTGTTCCCTAGAGACTAAAATGGATGTTCTGAAACTTGAGCTGGCCACAAATAAGGAGTGTATATCAGAGGTGGTGGCCATTTGAGAGCTGTAGGCAATGAAATTTCATTTTGATGTATGCCGATTGGTATACATTCAAAGTGACAATAAAGTTGTTATTGTTGTTGTTGTTATTATAAAACATCCTTCTGCAGAAATTTCTAATTCATTTTCTGAAAGCTTGTATGATTATTTGATCTTGATTCTGCTGAGACAGCATAAAAGAACTTCAAGAGAGAAGACTGATAAAATAAGTAACAGTTAAGAACTAGCAGGTAAAGCAGGCTTGGCTGTATGATTGCTGTGCTTTTTTGTAATGAAGGAATAAATAAATCCAAAAGTGGCATTGTTAAGTGGAGATGTTGTCTCACTTTTCATGTTATGACAGATAATAACCCTTTGTTTTCCTGTTTTCTGATGGTTGTAGACATACATTTTCTTAATTAAAATTGGCAGCCTATTTCACTATTCGCATCCACAAAGTTTATTTATCTGTAATGAATAAGAAGGAAATGCAAAGTTCACTTCTGTTCAATGTAATTGTTGTTCAGGGTATACTTGTCTTTCA